ATTTGTCACAGGTGAAAATTTCTCCTGAAGTTCCCACCCCAAGCCTTTCAACCCAACCACTGCTGAGCCTGTAATTCTTTCTCCCAGTCTCCTCTCATTCACCCAATTCTCCACCCACTACCAACTCCAAAACACCTTTCAGACCAAGCTCCCACCTCCCCATCCTTGGTACATGCCTCCCGAGTCCCTCCCCATCTGAGGTCCCCTTCCCCTGGCACTCCTGCGGTAATGGGATTTGCCTCTCCATGCCAGCCCATGTTCACTTGCAGTGTTGAAACATTAAAATGTTGTATAAATCCTCAGTAGTCACAGTCTGAACAGGTACTTTAAAAAAAAACACACAAAAAAACCCCTCTATTGAATGACTGTAATTTACAACTCTGGGCATCTGAGCCTGGCACAGAACCTACCAGAGAGAAAGTAGGACCCTCATCTCTTGCCGGACTTCTTTTCAAGGGAAGCTCAAGGGGCAGGAGAGGCCGGCACACTCACAATCACTCTCCTGTTCGACCAGTGTGCTCCGCTGGGCACCTGCTCCGCGCCAGACAGGTATGAAATGCAAGCAGAGCGGGCAAGGCCAGAGCTCAAGCGTTCCTAGTCCAGAGGGGCAGCAGGCGTGAACAAGCACTGGCATCCCTGAGGAGGTACGGCCTTCGCCCTGGCCGGCGTGGCTCAGCTGGTTGAGCACTGTCCCGTGCGCTGAAAGGTTGCCGGTTCAACTTCCGATCAGGGCACATACCCAGGGTGTGGGTTCTATCCCCGGTACTGATCAATGTATCTCTCTCACATCAATGTTTCTCTCTCTCTCTCTAAATAATCAATAAAATATATACTAAAAAAAAATAATTATGGCCTTTGACATCATACATGATATATTTATATTTTCTAGCTGTTTAGTGCAGATATAAAACATACACTTGATTTTCAATATTTGCCTTACATCTAGGAGTCTTGCTAAAGTTATTAATTATAAATTATGTAGATTCTTCTGGATTTTTTGTTATATAATCAGGTCATCTTTGAGTAACACCTTTCTTTCTCCCTTTTCAATCTGTACATCTTCTCTCGACTTTTCGCTCTGCATGGCATTTCTAGCAGTGTTGAAGAGAAGTAGTGATAGAGGGGGGTTTATGTTACTTCCAAGGGAAAGCTTCTAACCATAAAGTTTAGATTAAAAAAAAAAAAATTATGGGCCTTGATAGCCCGGTGCTAGATAAAGATGGCGTTGGGCATAACTTATGGAGGACATTTGGAGTGTCCTTCCGCAGGGTGGCTGGAGCCTAGACTGAAGGGATGCAGGGGACCACCCTGTGAAGAGAGGGGAGGTTGGTAGGTGTGGAAGAAGTTACGAGGAGGACAGCCTCCAAAGGGGTTAACGAGGAAATACAGAATTGTGCATTGTGTTAAACGCTGAACAAGAAACTAAAAATGGAATGGAATAGGAAAGGGAGCTCATCAAGGAAGGGGCTTTTCAGAAACAGAAATTTCATGGGAAACCTACAGGATGAGCTGGAGCATCCATTCAGACAGGAGAGTGTCACAGAGAACGGCACATGCAAAGGTCCTAGAGCGGAAAGAGCTGGGCCTGTGTGGAGAGCCACAGAAGACAGGGGCCTGGAGCGAAACCCAGAACGAGGGTAGACTGATGGGCAATGGCAGGAACATGGGCATTCACAGCGTAGTCATGCCTCTCGAACTTCACTTAGAATGTATTAGAGATACTGAAGGGTTATAACTGGGGTGGGGAATATGGCCATATTTACATTTTCTTTAATGATTTTGAGAGAGACAGAGAGAGAGAGAGAGAGAGAGAGAGAGAGAGAACATCAATTTGTTGGCCAGGGCCCATATTTGCTTTTTTTTTTTTAGTGACTTTGCCCTTCCCCAGGTCACCAATGACCTCCATGAAGCAGAAGTCAATGGACACTGTAGGCCTCACACATCTAACCCATCAGCACCATTTCACACAGGTGACCCCTCCCTCATCCTAGAAACTGTCTTCACGTGGCTTCCAAGGACACCCCGCTTTCCTCTTACCCCACCGGCTGCTCCCTCTCCATCTCCTCTGCTACGTTTCCCTGACATTTGGACACTTGAGGCTTCACGGCTCAGAACGTGCACTAATTATTTGGCCTTTATGGCCACTGAGCCCACTCGTTACCACGTTCCCCCAAAGGCAAGCATTCCAATGTTTCATGGGAGTCTTATGTTTGTATGTGTGCTTGCAAAATATGTATTATTTCCTAGGAAAAGTATTTCACTGTGTGGCCCATGTAGTGGCTTCTCAAGGCACAAGTCTGAGGGACCCTCCTGCCTGTGGCTTTCCTCTCTTCTCTGCCACATTCCAAGGTCTTTTCCGCACATCTGCCCTTCCCTGCACTGGGTCGGCCTCTCCCGTGTCAGGGTCTCACCAGCACCCCTCACCCAGGCTGTGCCCTCAGCCTGGACTGTGGTGTTTCTCCAGAGCGGACTCCTCCCCGACCAAGTGCTTGTAACAAACAGCGCAGGTCCCACTCCGCACCTGCTCTGTCCAGGCCCTCAGGACCTCAGCCCCGAGGCGACTGCAGGGACAGGCTCAGAGCCATCTGTGAATTGAATGAGCACCCACTTAGAGGCTTGGCTCACCTCTCTGCAGACCAAACCCCCACATCCGCTCCACACGTCCAACCACTTGACAAATACCGCCTGCGCCCCCGCCCTGCCAGCCTTGCACAGAATGCGCAGGAAGGGCTAAGACGACAGACAAGGACTAAGGGCAGCAGGCCTGGCATCAAGAGCTGGCGCTGTGGGACAGGAGCCTCGGCAGCCGGGCGCCCTTGGCCGCGCTGGCCCCCTCTGGGCCTCGGCTCTCTGCGTGCTCAGTGGGTTTGCTCCGAGCGTGGCCTTGGAGCACGTGGTGCGGAGCGAACACGGCAGCGCGGGGATAGCACAGTAGCTGGTGGACGAGGAACCGTCAGGCCATGCTGGATGGCGCCGCGTGGCCACGTGGCCGGGAACAGTGTGGGGGACCGCCAAGGGGAGGACACCGCTTTGCCGAGGGGTGGGAGAGCCAGGGGATGCCACCTGGAGGGGAGGTTCTGGAGACTTTGCCGACAAAAACAACTGAGTGTAGAGAGCTGCTCCTGAGTCTTTATTCGCTGTCCCAGCAGGAGCCAATCAAGGCTCTAGACACTGTCCACAGAAGGAGACCTTGTTCTCCAGGGGTGAGAAGAGTATGAAATTCTGAATTTTCACTTCAAACCCAAGTTAGAGGAACTCAGCCACCTGCGAAGCTGCGCCTCCCTCTCCTGAAAGGAACCTGAGGCTCTGGGAACCGAGGAGACCAGAGCTTCCTGATCGGCTCGGGCGCTGGTGTGGTGACCGGCTTCTCCTTCTGCCCCGGAGCTGCCTTCCCCCGGACGGAAAGAGAAGCCTGGAGTCTGTGTGTCAGCCAGGAGCCCAGGAGCAGGCTGTCTGCTCCCAGGGAGGCATCTTGGGCTGCCTGTCCCCGCCAGAGCCAGCACCGTGCACCCCAGAAGGAAGCCCAGCCCCCAGTGCTCTCCTGGGACCCATGGAGGCCCCCACCTGAGCCTGTGGTCGGAGGAGCTGGGAAGAAGGTAGAGATGCTGCTGTCAGAGGCCCAGGCTGAGGGCAGGAAGGGTGGGTGGTGCCAGCCATGGATGGAAAGGCAGATTCCAAGACCCTGTCCCACTGGGGACACATCAGGCTCCTCAGTAGACCCTCTACCTCAGGAGCCACCTGGCAGAGGCGGAATCTCCCGGGACATCTCAGCCAACCCGCCCACCACTAGGGTTCAAGCCCTGCCCCCTGGGTCACCACTGAACATTAGACATCTGGGTCTCAGGACGAGCCTCTCTGGCAGGAGGACCCAGGGGTCACTCACTCATTCCAACAGCACTCAGACTGCAAGGGTACGAAGGAGACAGAGAGGAAGACTGGAAGGACACAGGGTTCCAGACCCGTGTCTGAGGGGCCGGCCACCTGTGCTAGGACAAGCTGCCTCTCCTACTGCAGGAAGCCCAGATGGGCCTGGACTGGACGCGGGCCACTTACCCCAGAGGTCCACACTTCCCAGTCCTGCACATGCCTGAGCGGTCAGGGGCCGGGGCTATATGGTTGCTTCTTGATTCCAAACTCTGGCCCAGCCAGGGCACCCTGAACTGCCTTCTAATGTCAGTGAGGCAAATGAAGCAGTTCTGTTTCTGTCCAGACTTTGCAGCCCATTGCCCAGGGCTCACCCCAGCGGGTGGGTAATCCCCTGATTTCCAGCAACCTCGGGTCTTTAGGACAGAGACCACAGCCTCATTTCAATCTGCGATGTCATTGCTCAGACCTATTCTGGAAGGAGCTTGGGGTGGGGTGGTGCCCTCGCTCCTGAGGCGGAGCTCTTGGATTCATGTCTAGGCCCTGACAGGTGGCTGTGGGACCTTGTGAAAGTCACGAGATGGTCTGTGCTTCACTTCCCCGTTCGTAAACGGGGATGATGACAGTGCTACCGTAGCACATTGCAGTGAAGAAGAAATGGCATCAGTGGTTAGCTCAGACCCTTGCTCCTTGAGATGCTCAGGCCATGTCAGCCTTGTCCTCATGCCTCGCCTTGGAGGCTCTCTGCGAAGGGCTCTGGCTGGAGGTCTGTGAGATGCACTGACCTTGCACATGCCAGGGGACAGGAGAGCCAGTCAGGGTCGGGCTGTGGGAGAGGCGAGGAGATTTACTCCTGGTAGGGGTGGTTCTTCTAGTGAATTAGCATCGCCTTGGTCTGAGGGAGAGGCAGGGGCACAGTGTGACTACCCTCACGAGGAGATGGGACCCCCAGCACCAGGAAGCTGTCTGCTTCCTGCCGTTCAGGATGACAGGACTGGGCTAAATCAGAGGGCTTTGCCCAGGACAGCAGTGGGGGAAGGCACTCTCTTGGCCTCGGTCAGCAGCCTTGACCTGGGAGTCTGGGAGTTGGGATCCTGGAGCAGAGGAATGTGGCCACCCAGGTGCCTCCAGGGGGAGGCGGGCCCAGCTCCCCAGCTCTAAAACACAAGCTTCTTGGGAACCTCCCAGGGGAACTCGCTTCTTCCGAAATGGCCGTAGCACGCAGTCTTCTGGTAGATGGGCTTCTTCAAATCCAAGTCCCTGTGTGTCCAGCAGAAGGAAGGGTCATTTTTAATGGAAAAGGAGTGGAGTTTCCTTCTCTGAGTTTCAGGCACTGGAGGAATAGCCTAGCACAGTCTTTGTGTGGAGTGTCACCACTCACAAACCAATTTTCCATAAATGTTCTGTCTATACTATACCATGTCTTATGGGGTGACTGTCATTGGTTCTTGCAAAACAGGCTCAGAGTTTCGGGGACAGCCTGATCAGGAGTTGGGATTGCATTTGCCTCACAGTGCCTTTCTCCTCTGTACCCCCCTTTCTTGGCCCATACCAACAGCAAGTTAGCAAGCTCTAGAAAGCAGGGATGGCATTAGAAACAAGAACAGATGGGACTAGACTTGCTGACTGAATCATCAGCCATTCAGCATTATAGTTATTTTCCTAACACCTCCCACCTGGAGTTAGCACCTGCTGGGCCAGCAGGGACTTTGCACAAGCTTTTAACCTGAACACCCAACATCCTGCGCTCGGGGTGTGTACCGTGCCGGCCAAGAGCTTGGAGACCCTCCTGCTTGTGGGAGGCGCGCGGGGCAGTGTGTTTACCTGACGATGACACCAGGCCGCAGGTCGAAGTTCTTATTCACCACATCTAGCAGCTCTCTCTCCGTCTTCTGAGAGGTTCCGTAGGTGAAGATGGAAATGGACAGCGGCTCGGCCACACCAATGGCATAGGAAACCTTCCAGAAGAGACCAGAGTCAGGGACCTGCCCCTCAGAGAAACCTTGATGTCCTCAGGAGGGCAGCTGGAACCATGTGCCACACCTCTTGCCCGGCAGGCTCCCCCGGCCTGTCTGCCTGGAAGCCCGGCCGTCTTCAGGGTGACCCACCTGCACAAGCACTCTCCGGCAGAGCCCTGCTTTCACCAGGGACTTGGCCACCCAGCGGGCAGCGTAAGCTGCAGAGCGGTCCACCTTTGTGTAGTCCTTCCCGGAGAAGGCTCCCCCGCCATGCGCCCCCCAGCCGCCATAGGTGTCCACGATAATCTTACGGCCAGTGACACCCGCATCACCCTGCAGAAGGAAAGGAAGAAACAGAGGGGAGGTGAGAACCAGGGCCCCTAAATGGTAGGGCAGGGGTGCTAAAGCACTGTGCAGGCCGCTGAACCACAGCTTGGGAAAGGTGCCCTGCAGCTGCCTGGGGGCACGTTCCAGACTCCTTGGCTAGGAGTCTAATTCAGGTCAGTCACTGACCAGCCACGGAAGTCAGGTAAGCTGTCAGAGCCTCATCAGAAAGCGCAAACGACGAGCCCGCTGGGGTCAGCCAGCCCTAGCACCTTTGTTTTTATGGACCAGTCACAGTGGAGAAATCCAACTGCAGGAGGAAACTGCGCTGTGATCACACCCTGCACTGTTGCCACCAGTAAATGCCACGTTGCCCATTTCCTCATGTGTCTGCTCTGTGCAACGCCAGTCAGTGGAGGTGGTTTAAAAGGCAGCAGGGCTCCATGTCCAATGATTTGAGAAAAGTGCAGTACCATGCACCCCTGCTTAGAGATCCACATTCACACTCACATTTCTAGCCCTTGAGAAGTCCTACAAGAAACGACAATCAGCTTGACCTTTCTTTCAGCCTGTGTTTCTTTCAGCCTGTGTTTTTGGCTACAGGACCTGCTATGGGTTTTCTGCTCTGTGGCAACACAGCCACAGCTGAGGTCCCGGGCAGTGACCAGCAGCCTTGCACAGATGCCCTGCCATCTCTACTTCCTCACTCCTGCAGGACAGGAGAGAGGGGGCAGCAGGTGTCCACAGGTAATAAACTGCCCCACCTTGGTACCCACAGGAGTTGAAGGTAACCTGCAGCAAAGACCAGGTCAGCGCCACCTGGTAACGGTCCGGCGTCTGCATTGGAGAGTTAGCACATTAGCAGGTGAGGCAGCAGCCACCTGGCAAGTATGACATCAAGTGTGGGCTGTTTGAAGTGGAAGGTACTGATGGGTACACAGCAAGCCTCACACAGAGGGAGCTGACTTCACAGTCTGTCCAAGGCCAGACCTGGCTGAGTCACACAAAGCCCCTCCTACAGTCTGTGCGCAGAAGTAGTAACTCCAGAAACAGACAAATCAGGGCCTCATCAGAGACCAGGAGTACCTGGGGGCCGCCGATGACAAACCGCCCACTGGGCTGCAGGTGGTAGACGGTGTCTTTGTCCAGGTACTTGGCCGGCACCACAGCCCTGATCACCTGCTCCTGCAGGGCCTTGCGCATGTCCTCCAGTGTGATGTCCTCGTTGTGCTGCACAGAGATGACGATGGTGTGGACGCGCACAGGGATGACCGCACCGCTCTTCTGTATGTACTGAACTGTCACCTGTCAGTCAGAAGGCAGGAGAGACATCGTGAAACCCTGCCCTGAGCTGAGGACACGTCGCCGCCAGGAACAGAGGCCAGCAGGCTCCCAGGAACCAAGGGGGCCCTCCTGTCTGCAGAGGACCTTCGGGAAAGTTCATCTGACACCGCCTGGCATTCAAATAGTTGCCTAGCACTGTGAGATGACTGGGCATGAGGCATAATCTAATTCCACCTGGGATCACAATTAGTGCCACCTGAAGACTTGGGGTTTATAGTTTCCTCTGTGACCCACTAAACGCTTCTGCTATTTCAGAGGGTTCTGAGAGCCAACAAATGTCCCCTGGCCAAAGCCCTCCCTTGACCCTCTGTGGCCCAGGGTCAAGCTATCCTGGCTCCTTCCAAGGACACCGGAGTCACAGGCCACATACCAGCTGTCCCAGCCTCTCAGCAGAGGAGCTCTGGAAGAATATCGGGCCCGCGGACCTGGCTGTGGGGGCAGAGAGAGAGGCGCTCAGGTCAGGTGGCTGAGACGGAGCGGCCGGCGCTGGGTGTTCTGGTAAGTGACAGGGAAGCAGAGAGCACCTTAAGGGATGGCAGGTGCCGCAGAGCCCGTGTACACAAGGCCACAGGGACAGATCTAACCTCACTTCCGCCAGCGTGGGCCGGTCTGTGCCCATTCTGTGCATGATCAATGACTATTTAAGCCTTTCTAGCAAGACAGGCATTGTATGTCCACTTTAAAAGCGAGAACAAGGTTATGAGAAGTGAAGCAACTTGTCTGAAGTCACATGCTAGTTAGTGAAAAGCCAAAGAGCCAAACCCAGCTCTGCCTGATCCCAAATCGTATGTCATGCCCACAGCAGCACAGACAAAATGCTTCTCCCCGCCTCCCCCGCACTCCCGTCCCTTACTGACACCTCAGTGAGCACAGGAGCCCGATGTCACAGCCCTGACTGGCGTATCAAAGGAGGTCCGCCTGGGCACCTGGGCTTGCAGAGTGAGAGGGCAGGAGATGGTGAGGGTGCAGGAGAGGCTAGGGAATGAAACTAGCATTGACTGGGCATGCGCTGTGGGCTAGAAACCATACCCAAAGCTACGAGAAGCTGTTACCAGCCCCATTTTACAGATAAGAAAGCTGAGGTTCCAGAACATAAATGCCTTAGACAAGGTCACACAGCCAGCAAAGCTGGGCTCTGACCTGGAGCTGTGCAGCCTGGCAGCTGCGGCTGTGCCCAGCAGGCAGCGGCCACTCAAGACCCTCAGGGTGCATAACCAATGGACATAGACAACAAACCTGGGGATGAGGTTTGGGGGCGGGATGGAGAGGAGAGTGCCAATGGGGGAAAAAGGAGAAACATCTGTAACAAAAGTAAATTAATAAAAATAATTAAAAAAAAAAGAATTGGATAGTGGCAAAAGAAGGATTAAATAGAGGCCAGTATCGAGCTTGGTGATTGTCTTCAATTATTTATATGCATATATTATATTTCTATTACTCCTCTAAGCACTACTAATACAAGTGTTATCATTTCACTCATCAGTCTCCATGACAATAACACAACATATTCTGTAAAATATGTTACGAAATATTTACAACTTAAAAAAAAAGATCCTCAGGGCTGTGCTGGAGCCACAGGCCCCGCCGCTGCGCCTCAGTGTGAACCCACAGGGCCGCGCCCGAGGGGCTGCAGGAGTGCAGCTGCGCCAGGGGCCCTGCAAGAGACCTGCCTGGCAGGCGCAGCTCAGCTTCCTCCCGTGGGCCGCGGCAGGGCACAGGGCACAGGGCAGCAGCAGCGCCTCCTGGGCTGGGCCTGCAGCAGCTCTGCTGGCCCCAGGCCCTCGGGCAGCCGTCGAACACTGGACTCGAGTCAGACTCCTGCTCTGTGCAAAGAGCAACAGGACGGGTCGAGGGAAGGAAGAGAAGGAACCCTGCCCATGATGCAGGTCCTTGTGAGACGGGCAGATGTACCCCAGCATCTGTGGACTGAAAGCAACCCTTAACTGCTGGGCTGTGCACACCCGGGGCCTGTGAGGAGCAGAGTTGGGGGGCTCCCGGAAGGGGAGGGCCTGTGGCTGGCTCTAGGACTGGATCTACTAGGCCTCAGGGGAAGGCTCGCATCCCGAGGAGCTGCCGAAGCCTGTCCCCCCCGCCCCCCCCCCCCAGACGCCACTCTGCCGCAAGCCCGAGCAGCACCCTGGCAGAAGCAAGAACTCTGGCCGAGCCAAAGGCTCTCAGTGTGGCTCTTATCTCATCGTGTCAGGGAAAACACACCTCTGGCCAGGTAAGCAGCCCTCCCTCATGCTGCCACTCAGGTCTCCATATCAGCAGGAATTTGTTCAGGTGGAAAGACTCATCCTGTTCACAGTCAGCACTGGTCAGATGGTGAAACTCCTCTACCAACAGGGTACAGAGAAGGCCTAGCAGGGGGGCTGGCACAGCGCCCCACAGTGCGGCAGCCCGGGGCCGAGGGGCCGGGAGAGCTCCGTCGGCAGACCCCACCGGCCCCTCTCACCGCCAGCCGGCTCGGGGCTGCCTGGGGCTGGGGAGTGAGGCCCACTCTGGTTTCCAAAGTCACATTTTTAAAAGAATTCAGGCCCTGTCCGGTTTGGCTCAGCGGTTGGATCATCGGCCTGCGGACCAGAGAGTCCTGGGTTCGGTTTCCACTAGGGGCACGTACCAAAATAAATAAATAAGTAATAACTAGTGTATCCTCTGCCCTGCGTGGCCTTACACCTGGGCTGAGGGAGGGCCCGCGGAGTCACGCACACCATGCTGAGCTGTGCAGCTCTTGCCGGAGGAAGGAGGTTTAGCTAACAAACCAAACTCCGAGTGCAGGGGCGTGAGAAGGCCCCACCTGGCTGTGCCCAGGGAAACCATGAGGAGGTGGGACTTAGCTGATACACAGGTGGGAAGCAGAGAAAAAGTCCCAGAAAGGCTCAGGGTGAAAGCAAAGGGGCAAAGCACTAAGAAGCAAGGGAAGCAGGAGTGAAATGATCCAGACCACACAAAGGTCGCAGGAGGGGAGGCGGGGAGGGGAACACTGAAGGACCATAAAAGGCTCTGAATGTCAGAATAACAAGTGGGGTCCCCCCTCCCCTGTAGGAAGCAGAAAGCTGTAAAAGACTCAGGGCAGATATTAGGAAATTAAGAGTGAAGCCCAAAGGAAATTAACTGGAGTCTCCCAGCAGGAAGAACCCTTGGACAGGCCTGGCCCTGGCCTGGGAAATGGGCTGGAGCAGAGGGGTGCTGGGTGGGAAAAGGTGGAGAATAGGCAGAGGGGGCAAAGAGGGCGCTGGGCAGAACGGGGGGGGGGGGCATGGCACTCCCTTCAGCAGAGGTGACAGTGTGGGGGCACACAGTGGGCTCTTGGGCATGCTTGTTTGTAGGTACGTGAAAAGTGGACCTGGTAATTCGGAGAGAACTGCAGGTGGAACATCTGGGAGCCAAGGGAGACGCGGTGAAAACTGGATCCGTTAGTGGACAGGAGGCAGAGAGTGTGGAGGAAGGGCCGAGACCTTGTGGAGTGTGGAGGAGGAGCCATGGGAGGAAGTCCCAAGGAAAGGAGCCATCTAGGTCATCAGGGTCAAACAGGGCAGGATGTGCACCGTGAAGGTGGACAGGAGGCCCCCAGACGTGCTAACGCTTGCATCACCACTGGCCCTCCAGTGTAGACTTCAGTGGGGATTTCAACTCTGCAGGGAGCACCGTGGTCGGGCCAAGGGGCCAGAGGCAGAAATAGACAGATAAAGTGTTTTTGTGGGAAAGAAGGAAAAGGGCCCCTGGATGCAGACGACCCTTGCTCAGGTGGCACTCGGGTGGCACTCGGGTGGCACTCAGGTGGCACTCAGGTGACACTCAGGTGACACTCAGGCCCTGTGTGAGATGTGGGGCCCGTCTCTGTAGTGAGGCAGCAGCCAAGAGTTTGAAACCAGTTCAGAAGTGTGTGGTAGGAACTGGAGAAGCATATTACCAGAGTCAAAATATGCTAAGAAGGCAAACAAACAAACAAAAAATCTAAGAAAATTCTTTTCAGATTTTGGTACTTTTATAATTTTTCATAATAAACTGAAGGGAGAAAACATCTAGAGCTGAGGATTTTAAAAATAAATAGTTCTTTTCAAAATTAACAATTCTTTGAGTGTTCCGACTGAACATGTTGATCTTAACAGTAACACAAATCAGAGGATTTGGGGTGCTTGGAACTCCCAAGGAGGCAAAGGAAGAGACTCACCTGAGTCTTCGAGTCAGGCCTCAGCCAGGGCAGCACCCCCGAGCGTCTCAGGTCTGCCATGCGGGCATTGAGTTTGTGCGCGAGGATGATGGTGAGGGGCATGCACTCTTCTGTCTCATCGGTGGCATAGCCGAACATCAAACCCTGCAGCAGGGGAGAGAGCCACACTCACTTCAGGCACAGGACAACTTTCTTCAAATCTAAGCCTCGTTGCACTCCAACCTATCTTGGGTGCCTCGTGCATGCAACATTTGCACTGGGCACTTGAGGAGGGGAAGACATGACCCTTGACGCCCCCACTCTAGGAGGGGGAAAGAGCCCCGATCGGCATCACAGCACGGGGTGCCCTCAAGCAGCTGTCCTGAAGTAGAGGTGTGCAGCTCACTCCAAGCACGAACCTCCCTGCGATCCTCTAGGATGAGGGGTCACCCCACGGTGTGATTACCCCTCATTCAGGAACTTCCCCGAGAGCTCCTCAGCACACATCAGAGCAGAGCGAGACAGGCGGTGCTGCACCGCCGCCCTGAGCCAGCACCCGTGCTCAGCGCTCATTACCTGATCTCCAGCACCGACGTCCTCTTCATTTCTGTCTAGATGAACACACTGGGCGATATCTGGGGACTGCTGCTCCAAAGCCACCAGCACATTGCAGGTCTTGAAGTCAAAGCCTAGGGAGAAGGGAAAGTAGGCTTGAGTGAGGACACATCAGACACAGAGTGGCAGCGAGCTTCCCGGGGGACTGTTCAGTTCCTGGCACCTGTTTAGTGCCACGCAGGTAATCTCTAATGACCTGGGATCTGTGTGGGCCCAGAACCAATGAACAGAATGGGAAAGGCCAGGAATCCTTACCATTACGTAAAACTCTTAGTCAAAGAGAACCCTGCACTGTGCACACTGCGCGCTTCCCTCACTGAACACAGCTGGGTTAGAAACACATCCTCACGAACTGCTGCACACAGACCAGGTAATGGCTCCAGTGCTCTGGCTGAAGCGCAGGGGGCGGCCCATGCCCTGACCCCTGGGCCTCTCCCAGGACCGAGGTTAAAATCACTGCACTGAATGAAAAGACCCAGGGCCCTGACAACACTGCCACCCAGAAGCCGAGAGATGGGCCTAATTCATGTACAGACAGTCCTTGATTCAGGATTTTTCAACGTGACAATGTTGCCAAAGTGATATACATTTAGTAGAAATCATACTTCAGATTTTGAATTTGGACCTTTTCCTGGGCTCTCCATATTCAGTACTCTCTCGCCGTGCTGGGCAGCAGCAGGCCTCAGCCCCAGGCATCCACACAACCATGAGGGTCAACCACCCACACTCTAAGGTCACTGTGTTAGATGACTTTGCCCAACTGTGGGCTAATGTAAGCGTTCTGAGCACGTGCGACACAGGCAAGGCTAAGTTGTGATGTTCATGGTTTAGGTGTATTAAATGCATTTTGACTTACAATATTTTCAACTTATGATGGGTTTACCCCATCGTAACTCGAGGAGCATGGCTATTAAACACACCAAACAAATAAAGTGTATAAGAACTATTCAGAGAGGCTCCCAGAGCCAGAGTCCTCTGATCCTGAGGGCCTGGAGCCAGGGGGAAGCCACAGCTCGGAGGCTGAGGCCCGGTCTGCCACCCCTGAAGCGCAGGCAGAGGTGGAAGCTGGTCTGCCGCAGGCCAGGTGCAACAGGCTGGGGCCTGAGTCAGGGAAGTCCGGGCTCACAGCAGCCCGGCCCAAGGAGCCCCAGGAGGCAGCGCTGTGCACAGACAGCACGTTCTTCTCCCCACTGGTCCTGCAATGTGCAGGCCTCAGCTCAGGGACTGTGGGAATGAGCTAAAGCAAACAGGGGTCCCACCACAGGGTCAAGTATAGTGACAAGCTGTCACCCTCTTTTCAGTCTATCCTCCTATCCACGCTGCCAGAGGGGGCTAACTGAAGCAAGCAAGCAAGCAACCAGCCAACTCAGATCCAACCTACTGGTTGCGGACATGCTTCAAGTGCGGCCCACGCCAGAGGCAGCACCGTGGAACCCCCCGTTCCGCCCAGCCTGCAGTGGGACTGCGTTGCCAGCGTGGACTCAGTTCGCCTCAAGGACGGCACGCTCTTCTACCTCCACGAGGCCTCTCTGCCTAGAATGCTCCTCCTCCGACCGCCACCCCACACCCCCAAATCCGACAGCTCTCAGGCGGCATCCCTGGACCCTCCCACAGCTCTTCCTCGCTGGCTATGCCACTGACTCCCTGCTGGGCACCTCATGCTGCAGCATCTGATGCCCGGCCATGCCCCCACTCTGGGGGCATCAGGTCACCTCTGTCCTGTGCCACCTCCTGTCCCCAGGGAATGTTTCTGAAGGCACAAACCAACAAGCAACCTTTAGAGAACTGCCAAGGACTCACCCACATGCCCCGTTCTGCCTGATCACTGTCTAAATACTGCTGAAAAGCAGTCTTCTCAGTGCTGAGACAGTCAAGGCCTTCAAGTGCTTTGGAAATCGGAGCGGCTCTCACACCTATAGAAACGTGCACGTCTTCCAGCCTGCCCTGGCCCACGGAGATGCCCCATGTCACCCCAAACAACCAGTAAGAGGGTGTCAGTGTGCACAGGCCCTCAGAACCTGACCCTCGCTCGTCCTTTGATGCCCTCCAGTTGGGCCCCTTCCTGGCCTGCCCACTCACAGGGCCTCCGTTCTGTCCAGCTCTCACCCACTCTGATGCAGCACTCCTCCTCCATTCCTGCCAGGGCCTGTGCCCCTTCCCTGGGTGTTAGGCTCCCACACTGCCTGCCGCTGGAGCCAGCCTGGGCAGCCTGCCTCCTCTGCCCGCTCTAGGTGCCAGTTCTGGAATGAGTCATCTTCCTGTCTACAGTGGGAAGCAGCACAGTTTAGCAGAAAGCACAGCAGTCCCTAATGGGGCAGCCGTGTACCCATTGTGTCAACTTATCCAAATTATTTACCTCTTGCCCTGGCTGGTGTGGCCCAGTGGTTAGAGCATCGGCCCACACACTGAAAGGTCACGGGTTCAATTCCCCATCAGGAGCCTGTACTAAGTTGCGGGTTTGATTCCCAGCCCTGCTTGTGGTGCGTGCGGGAGGTAACGCATCGAAGTGTCTCTCTCACACTGATCTTTTTCTCGCTCTCTCTCTCTGTCCTTTTCTCCCTCCCTCCCTTCTACTCTCTCTAAGAATCAATGGAAAATATATCCTCAAGTGAGAATTAACAATAAAATTAAAATAAATTATTTACATATTTAAAAAAATTCCCCCCCCTTTATTGATTTTAGAGAGAGAGAAAGGGAGAGGGAGAGAGAGAGAGAAACATCTATGAGAGAAAACATCCATTAGCTGCCTCCTGCATTCCCCCCCACTGGGGATCAGGCCCACAACCTGGGCTTGTGTCCTGACCAGAAATCGAACCGGCGAGCTCCTGGTGCACGGGTCGACGCTCAACCAATGAGCCACACCAGCTGGACAAATTGTTTACATCTTTAAGCCTCAATTTCTATGTGCATGGGAAGCACAGCAGAGCTCCTCAGTTAAGTAAGATGGCACACACAAAGAGCCCAGCAGCCGTGCCCAGCAGAGGGCAGCACCCAACAGAGGGTGGCTCCTTTGACTCAGAGCTTCTTTCTCTTCCAAAGCTCCAGGAAGGCGGGACATCAAACAAGACCAGAGTTAACAACGGATGGACCTGGGCTGGTTCAACTGTCACCTGGGCTGCCATACTGTTGCCAGACCTTGACCCCTGGTCCCTGACAGGCAGACCTAGGAACGTTTTCTCCCTGGTGCTCCGTGCCGTCCAAAAGACTGCCTCCGCTGTGACCCAGCATCGGGGCTCTCTCAGCTGACCTGGGGCCCTGGCCTTACCCTTGGCAGAGTCGTCGTAGCCAATGTGTTTGATGGTGTCCCTCACCACCCGCTGGTAGTCCACCATGGCCATGGAGGTGATCTCCCCGCACAGCAGCACCATGCCCGTCTTACACACTGTCTCTGGAAGGGAAGGAGAAAACGAGTGGCCACGTGCCAGCACAGGGACACTCAGTGCCCAGGCCTCTCCCAGTGCTGATAGAGACTCACAGGGAATCTTACCAGACAGAAAATCATAACGCTGATAAAAAAGGGTAAATTCCAGCACAGTTGCTGACCATGTTCAAATATGCCCAGGGAACTATATTTTGGAAAGAATTGGTTACACCTGAGTTTTCATACCAAGTTCTTGCTACTTGTGTGATCTTGAACAACTGATTTAGCCTCTCTCTGTTTCTTCAACTGTGAGACTGCTGACTGGGTTAAAATGAGACAATGATTGTATGTAGTTGTCCTGAAGAACACAGTCACGTGCGCCCCCTCCCCCCACTGCAAACGCATCTCTGCAGGCTTCAGGGGTGGGTCCTGAACAAGAACCAAGGCAGGCCAGCCTTCTCCCCAGCATCAGAGCAGCACGGGCCGCAGTCCTCAGCACAGGCGCTAGGAGCACAGGGCAGGGAAAGCTTGGTCTGTGCAGCAGACAGTACGGGGCACCAGCCATGAGAACAGAGGGCTGTGGTCTCCATGCTGGGCACGCACCTACCCTGTGACCTGGGCCAAGGCCTGATTCAGCTGTACCCTCTGTCCCCGTAGCAAAGTGAAGGGACGAGACCTAATCACCTCTGGGGTCCTCCTGACTCTCGGCTGTGATGAGGGCTTCGACACAGACAAAGGATTCAGGGTCAGTGGGCAGAGCCCAGGCGTTCCTTACCGCAGGCCACCTTGGCATTGGGGTCCTGCAGGAGGTGGGCATCTAGCACCGCATCACTGATCTGGTCACAGATCTTATCTAGGAAAGAATGAACACATAAAAGAGTCACAGAAAATTAGGTACAACACACTAAAATGTTAAAATAATTAGCCATTTTGGCAGTTTACATATCAAATCTACCTAAAAGGACACTTTTTTAAATACAAGAAGTTGGAAATTTTTAAAATTTTTTATTTCTTCCCATTTCTCCCTAATTTTGTATGATGTATAATGTCACAGAATTCCCTGAAAAAGAAAATATATTCCCAAACCAGTTCTAAGATTCTACAGCAATTTACACACACACACACACACACACACTTCTAACTAAAAAGTCTCTCATTCCTCAACATATTCCCTTTAATTCTAACACCTAGAAAAGTCCTGGATATAGAAGTTAAAATAGCTAATAACGAGTGTGAGAGTAGGTGCCAAGATGCAAACCAAAGGGGACAAACAGGTGCATTGTACTGCAGGTGCCACAAGATGCACACCGCACCCAGTCCCAGGACTCCACCCAGAACTCTGTGAGGGAACCTCTGCACATCATTGCTGTTTTGCAGAACATTTCCACAAGCAGCTCTTGGATCCTCCCCACGGTCACTCAGCCTCCTAAAGGCTGGATGTTCTAATAGCTGGGTTTGACCTCCTCAGTCCAGGTGAGACTGGCAAGAGTTCACCATGGGCTGGCATTCGACCTTACTCTCCATTGCCTTAAAGACTCTACGGTCGACCATGTAGACCACTAGATGGCACTGTGGGAAATCTACTCTTGCTTTGGGGTTACGTGAACTGTCAGTGTTCACAAATTCAGAAAAAGTGACATCAATTGACACATATTACATCTCATTTAATGTTCAAAATATCTATAGAGTCTTCTCTTAATAAATTAGTAAGATTTTTCCCAGTTTTATTGAGATACAATCGGTCTATAAAAAGCTTACATAGAATTAATGTATACAATGTGGTGAGTTTGGACATATGTATATATGCATATTTCCATGACCACATCAAGGTAATAACCATATCTATCATCTCCGAAAGTTTCCTGTGTTTCTCTTACCTTTTTTTAAATTAAGAATTTGGATCCAGACTCCAGCAGTTCTACTCTCAAAAGCACATATTAAGCTTTGTAATTAAAATTATTAATTTGTCATTATAGGTAAATTCTGCAATTTTTCCTTCCAGAAAGTGTTATTAAACATGTTTGAACCTAGACAGTATTATGCTAAGTGAAATAAGTCAAACAGAGAAAGGCAAATACCATATGATTTCACTAATATGTGGAATCTAAAAAAACAAAACAAACAAACTAAACAGAAACAAAGTCATAGATACAGAGAACAAACCAATGGTTGCCACATGGGAGGGGGTTAGGGAGCTGAGTGAAAAGGGGGCAGGGGTTAAGAAGTACAAATTGGTAGTTACAGAATAGTCATGGGGATGTAAACTATGGCATAGGGAATATAGTCAATAATATTATAATAACTATGTATGGTGTCAGATAGGAACTAGATTTATCAGGGTGATTACTTTGTAAGTTATATAAATGTCTAACCACTATGCTGTACACTTGAAACTAATATAATATTGAATATCAACTGTAATTGAAAAATTTTAAAAACAGCCCTGGACAGTGTGGCTCAGTGGTTGGAGCGTTGGCCCGTACACTAAAGGGTCACAGGTTCGATTTCCAGTCAAGGGCACATACCTCAGTAGCAAGTTCGATCCCTGGCCCCAGTCAGGGTGCGTGCAGGAGGCAATGAATCAATGTGTCTCTCACATCCATGTTTCTCTTTCTCTCCCTTTCCCTCCCTCCTTTCCACTCTTTCTAAAAGTCAGTCGAAAAAATATCCTCTGGTGAGGATTCACACAACAAAGGAGAGAGGAAAAACATGCACACAGGTTTCTCCATCTATTCTCCCGCTGGTGGCAGATCTGGCTGAAAGTCCAAGTTTGTCTGAGTCCGTAGCCTCTGTGCACCCCAACCAATGAAGGCCTCCTGCTGCTCGGACACCCATTTTGAGCTCACCCACCAGGACTGGAGAAGCTGCTCATGATGACTCTGAGAAAGGACACTGGTCACATGTTCCCAGTGCACAGAGGGAAATGGGATAAGGAATACTAGGGATAAAGCTGGAGTTAAGCAAGAATATCAAGATAGCTTAACAGACTAAGAGAGCATCTAAGGGGGCCCTTCAGCACTGTTTCTTTAAGCTTTGGAAATTTTTATTGTTATTACTTAGTAGCTTAAGATAGCCAATAGTGGTTTTTTTTGAAAGGTAAAAAAGAAGCATTAATTTTATCTTTCTGGTGGAGAGGAATTTAACACTGGAATAAAAAGCAGAAAGTCAATAAGCCTTAGTGGAAACTGACTTACTTATGTGGATGGTTAATTATTAGTGGCAAGTGAAAGGAGAATCAGACAAAATGAATATCTGCCATTCAGTAGACAAAACAACCAACTGATTCGCTGAAATTTTCCTTCTCTGTCCATTGAGCACACTGCTGTGTGCAATGGGACCACTGGCCACTGCAGGCCGAAGCACCCACTTCCTCCAGCTGGAGTGAATCCTAACCTATGTATGGCCTTCCAAAGCCAGGGAGCTGTCCAGAATTTGCCAGACATAGCAATGGAGCTGAGATTATGAGTACAGTAAACCTAGAAACTTTATAAAATTAAACATAATTAAAGAGACTATTTACACTGACGAGCTAAGTCACATACAAAACCCAAGGGTTCTCAGCTGTGGCACTACTGACATGTGGGGTTGGAAAATCCTTTGCTGTGGGGAGATGGTCTTGTGTATGCAGAATGTTTAGAAACACGTCGGCCTCTATCCATCCAATGGTGTATCAACACTGCCCCACCCCCCAACAGCTGTGACAACCAAAAATGTGTCCAGACATTTTGAAATGCCTCTGGGGGAAAGGGAACAAAATTGCCTTCATCTGAGAACCACTGGCCAAAGCATATGGAAGGAGTAGTGTATTGAGATGTCCAAAGCTGAGTTTCAAGGTAAGAATGTTAAATCTCTTTGAAATAGAACAAGAATGAGGAAGATGAAAAAAAAAAGGTAGACCTGGTGGTAAGTTACCAAAAACTTCAACTACTCAAACAAATTTTGAAGCCATGCCTGAACACATAAATCAGTGTGTCTAGCCCCAGGGTTTCCTAGAACAATGATCTCGAAGTGCGATTCCCACATCAGCAGCAGCAGCATCTCCTGGGAACTTATTAAAAGTACAAATTCTTTCTTAAAGAGTTTATTTGAGCCCAAACTAACAACTGCCTGTTCTCAAATGCTCCTAAAACTGCAAATTCTTGAGCATTACCCAAGACCTACTAAATCAGAAAGTTTGGGGATGGGGCCCAACACTGCATTTTACCCTGAAGTTTGAGAACCACTGTGCTCTGATCACGGTCTTCACTGTCACCATGGAAGACTCTCTCATTTCCCCACATCACAGTCCACCTACCTTTCAAGGTACTCCACACCCAAAAAAGCTTGGATTTTCTTCCTCTTCCATGTAAGTCATCTATACTTCTCTTTTATAACACAGCCGAGACTCCAAGAACCTAGCGCTCCATCTCAGCGCCTGTTAGAACGCACTGCTGTTCACTTCTAACTACACATGCTTTGCACAGAAAAACTTAGTGACCCATGATCTGATCTGGTTTGAGGAAACATTCTGTGTTGACTTAAGTTGCTCACTAAAAAAGAAAGAAAATGTTTGTATGTGATGATACATTTTATGTCCATGATTATCTTTAGACAACCAGCGGCATGTTCTCTGCGGCATGAAGCCTCAGCTTCATTAACTTACAATTTGTCATTGGCATATGATTATCTGTTTTATAAAACTGCAAATAGAGTAAAAATACTTCATGTTGTTCCTCCAGAGATCAACTTATGGTAACTAATACAAATTGTCTTAAGACCCCTAGTAAAAGTGGCTCCCTCGGTACAGGCCACCATCGGTCCAATGCCACCTGCTTACCTGGGTGTCCCTCTCCTACAGATTCCGAGGTGAACATGAAGGCTCCTTCTTCACTTAGAGAACTGTCACACAGGCCATCCACTGGTCCGTTCATCTTTCCAGAGTTCTCCACTCAGCTTCTTCAAGGCAACAATTCTAATGCTGTGATTTTGACAGGCTTTTTTTTTTTTTTTTTCTTTTTCTTTTTTCTCAACGGGCTAGTCTTTGGCAGAGGCACAGGGACTGCTGTGCCCCACGGCCGTGAGCATCTCTGACTGGCCGAAGCTTGTCGTGAGTGACTCCTATATATGGAAAAGTGAAAGTGCCAGCATAACCATGTGAGGGGCGGAGGAGTCCATTCCGGGCCGGGGGTCATCTTACCTTGAGGAATTTCTGTCTGTAGCTCTGATTTCCCAAGCCCTGAGCATCTGGTCACTGTAAGGGCAAGAAGGCTGCACAGATTCTGCAGAACTGAAGCTCCTTAGGCACTCTGCTTCAGCTCTGCAGCTAATCTCCACCTTGTTCCAAGGTCAACATCCCACCTTCAAGGGTGGGGGCTGTGGTTCCTCAGGGATACAAACAGCAGCAAGGAACTCTTTTTCCAGAGATATGGTTTCGGCTAAGATTGAGACACAGGGTGGCCTTTGCCGTTGGGTGCTCCCTGTCCTCCCCCACACCTGGTCTGGATTGGGCTCGTCCCCTTCTTCCGCCTTCTCAGAGCAGGAGCATCTGTGCTCAGAGTTGGCTTGGATGTTGCACAGCAGATTCACGTTAGAGCCCACATTTTTCTGCTATTGGAAATCACCTTAACTGTCAACTTCTCTCAGATACTGGCAATCACATTAAGAAACAAAATGTTTAAAAAGTATCTGGGCTTTTGTGGGGAAGGACTCTTGAGAGACAGATTCATTATAGGGAAACTGTCAGAGTCCCATTTCCCAAAGCTTCCAGATGTTAAATTAAACATCTACATGCTCACCCTGTACACTTGATAAACATCCTGCTCACCTACCTCCTGCATTCGTTTTGCTTTGACCAAGAAAAGGAATAAGCAGGATTATACTTTAACCAATTCATGCTTTAAATGACAGCATTTCTGCCTTCATTCTCATCCACTCAGACCTAGCTGCACCCAGGCCCAAGGAACAAGAGGGAACGGAGACCATGGGAGATGAGAATGGCTGGAGAAGCAGTAAAAAGTATTCAATCAAAACCTGATTCATCAAAGGTTGGACTGTGGGAAGCAAAAGGCAGGATATAATAATTCCAACCAATAATTTTGGTGACCAAATCCCCTCTGTACTTATAATATGAGCATTTAAACATTTTTTCTGGGGCTTAAATCTTGAGTTTTGCCAGCTGCAGAGGTAGCAGCACTCTGTCCCTCCAGGCCGTTAAAGCCACATTGAAGTGACCTCTTCAGAGATAAAGCAGGAGTTTTTACATATGTGTAATGAGAGGCATTTAACAATGAGTGAGCTGGAATGCTCAGGCACAGAGTACTGAAAGTTCAGAGAGGAAAAGACCCTGGGATTGGATGGAAAAATGATGAATCCAATAGGGACTTTAGACGATACAGCCCAGTCCTTGTCAGCACACAGGAATTCTCCTGTTTGCACTTACACTGTTTCAACATCGCTGTTCTTTTGTAAATTTCTTCTGAGTACATTGGTTCCAAACCTGGAGGCAATACGAGCTAATGTTTAATGTGAACTGCAGACCGAGGTCACCCGAGCAGCTAGCCATCACGTAATAAATGTGCTTTAAGAGCAAGATGAAGTTTAAGTATGAAATGTTCATCAAGGTTCCACGAGCTAGCAAGAAGGCCACCCCGTGTCTCAAACAAAGCAGCCCGACTGCCCTCTGAATCCAAAATGAATATAGCATCATGGGGTTGGGAGGTGCTGGGGGGGGGGGGGCGATGTTCTGTACAGAGAAGTAGCACTTTCAAAAGGCTTCTGCAGCCTGGACACAAATTCAGAGTGAGGAAAAGATCTGGAAGACACCCAGTTCAGGACCCACCTCATGTTTGAGCCTCATATGACATCCCTATTAAATAAATCCCTGGCCATCTATACTCCTTCAGCAGATAGATGCTAACAAGAAGCACGTCCAGCATGTGGCTGGGAGGGCAGGCTTCAGGCTGGATCCCAGTTTTGTTTCTAACCTACTATGCGCCCTGGCCAGGCCACAGTCTGCCTAACTTCCTAGGCTGCTGTTTCTCCCTCTGTAAAGCAGTTAAGTGATTACCGGTGTTGAAGAACTAAATGATGTCATTTAGGTATGTGAGTGATGAGCATAGAGCAAACTCACACAATGAGAGTTTGATTAATACTACCTAATATTATTAAGTACCTTCTATGTGCATATACTTGATTGTTTCCTGAACAAAAATAGATTATCATATACAATCACACCTTGGAGATACTGTAGGTTGGGTTCCAGACTACCTACCACCACCGAAATAAAGTGAGTACCGCAATAAAGTGTGTCATAATCTTTTTGCTGATGGAGGGTCTTGCCTTCAATGTGTTAAAAACACAACATACTGTGAAGCATGATAAAGCAAAATGCAATATGTTGTTTTGCATCTTACTCTTTTTTTCCACAATGTACTATGGTCTTCTTTACATTTCTACATAAAGACAGGCTTCATTTTTTAGCACTTGAACAGTATCCTACTATAGGATGTACCATAAATTACTGAACCACTTAGTCCCTGATGGCTATTTTCAATGTCTCTGCTTAAAATCACGATGATGCTGCAGGAAGGATAGTCATTGGCATGCTTTTGTACAAAGATAAAATGCAAGGCCCTGCCAACACTGAACTAGCCAAAAGATTTCCATTGTGTAATAAATTTTTAGCAGTTAGATAAAAGAAATAGCACTTTAACCAAGAGTGAAAATCATAGCTTCAATCTGCCTCCTTCGGCAAGAACTGGCAGATCATGGCAAAGATGTACATAGAACCCACAAAGACTTTGTAGCCCTAATTTGTCAACACAAACTCAAATTAAAGCCTCCCTTACGCACAAACTGTCCTGTTCTCCCTTACGCATGAGTTGTCCCCATGCCGCCCCCAGCCACACCAGTGTCAAGGCCTGCAGGTGATGTCACTTCCATGCAGCAACCTTCGACTCTGGATCTTCGCCCACTAGCCTCTGAGGAACTTGGCTTTGAAAACAAATCTCACTTTCAGTCAGATTTATCCCGATGAACCAGAGGGTAAAATACCAGAGGGAGGACCATGTTTCCAATGAGCAGCGCATGCAACCCACACGGAGCAGCTTCATGAAGGAGCTCTGAGGGCACCTGACCCCAGGTATCACCATGAGGCAGCAGAACTAGTGGAAAGCTCCTGGCCAACGGTGCCCTTCTCTGGCCCCTGCACTGCTGTGCCGAAGACTATGCCACAGGCAGAAGAAAGGGCAGTTCTGGTGACCTAAGACTGGACAGAGATGTGGAGTGCGTGCCTACATCTTAAACGCTGTTTAAGTGCATACTTTTTCTTTCTATTTTATTTTATTTTTTTATTTTTGTTACAGATGTTTCTCCTTTTATACCCCATTGACACCCTCCTCCTCATCCCCCTGGCCTCATCCCCAGCTTTGTTGTCCATGTCCATTGGTTCTGTGTACATGCATATAAGTTCTGTGGTTTATCTCTTTCCTCCCACCCCCCCCTCTTCTGAGGGTTGTCAGTCTGTACCCTACTTCCACGTCTCTGGGTCTACCCTATTCCTCATACTGTTATGTTCATTATATTCCACAAATAAGTGAGATCATGTGGCATTTGTCTTTTTCTGCTTGGCTTGTTACACTTAGGATAATACTTTCCAGGTCCCTCCATGTCGTCTCAAAGGATAAGAGATCATTTTTTCTTACAGCTGCATAGTACTCCATTGTGTATATGTACCACAGCTTTTTTATCCATTCGTCTACTGGTAAGTGCGTATACTTCTAATCTTCAGTGAGAAGCTCCCCTCACTTAAATGGCATTACACCATACGAAATATTTTCAAAAAGATTTACTTCTTTCCCCTCATTAATTTAAGTACAAACTTTCTACCCAGATGTTATCCTGAAACATATATTACCAATTTACAAAAGAAATATAAAATTGATTCATATAGTACATTTAAAAAAATTTAACACCCTGGCCAGTTTGGCTCAGTGGTTGGAGCATCGGCCTGCAGACCAGAGAGTCCCGGGTTCAGTTCCCACTAGAGGCACATACCCAAAAATAAATAAATAAATAAATAAATGAATAAATAAATAAATAAATAAAAATTTAGGTAATTTCAGCAATATGTCATCTTCATTTAGTAAAAAGTCCAAATAAGCACCCTCTATGCTATAGCTATTCTGAAAAAGAGTAAAGAAATGTGGAATGGCTTCATGGAAAAAACAGAACCTGAGCTAGACCCCAAGGAATTACAGGATCTTAAAAGGCAGCAGGGAGATAGGAAGGCTTGGTGGGGGTTGGGTAATAACTGGGCAGGAAGGTGGAGGGCTGGAAAGCCAGACAAGCCAGGAGCTGGTACTCAGAGCAATAAGTAGCCCTGCAGAGGTAATAAAATGGGAGTTTCTGCCTGACAGGATAATCAAAGTTTGATTAGAGGAAGATTCCAAAATCAGAGACTAGAGTTAAAATTCCTCCTTGATCCAAAAGTAACCTGAAGAGGAACAGACTCTGAGATGTTCATACAATATAATGCAAATACATATATGCATGGTATTTTTCAAAACTTTTCTTATTAAAATCATCCCTTCCCCCATAACATATAATCCCAACTTCCAAAGCTGAAATCCTGGAGGTTATTTCAATTTCTGATCCTTTATCATTTATATCAAATTTCCCACAATGGTACCTTAGCATTCTCCCCCTTTGTTTTCATGTCCACAGAGAGTCATCTCTGCACCCATCCTTGTCATCTCACATTAAGTTAGGCACACACTGGGCTGAGCTTTCCATACCCAGAAGGCAATGGAATAACATATTTAAAGTATTAAAAGAAAAAAGATACTGTTGATAAAAAATTCTAACCAAAGTAGAAATAGAGATTTCAATATCTAATTTTCAATAATGGATAGATCAACTATACAGAAGATCG